TTCACACCCTTCCGTCCTTATTCACACGATTGTTCAACAGTATTCCACTACCTCCGCAGTGGATCGATAATGAAGCAATGAACTTTGCGATGTCAGACAAGTCGACTATTTTTCAAAAAAGGATACCTATGAAGAGAACATCTCTCGAACTGGTCCCTCGAAACGTCACAATTCTCATAATTATGGGTAGCGGTATAGTAATAAGTGCCGCCTTTATTATCTACGAGTGAAAACACTGCGCATCCAGAGCGCAGTTTTTTCTTGTGCAAAATGGTGTGCATCCAGAGCACCTTTTGCTTCATCAGAACTAGAACAAGTAGTACAATATGGTCCTGGCGCAAGCTCCCATATACATGTTATAGCCCAAACACATTTCCAACGTATAAGCCATAGTTGGGCAACCTTAACGTGTTGATAATGCTACTGATATGGACGCCATTTATTTAGCTTTTTTTTTGTACCAGCTTCGAACAAACATAGGACGTTCACCCACTCGAGTATATTTAAAAAAAAACAGAAATCCGATGGTGAGGATTAAGCATGTACTGATTTTCCCTAGGACAGCTTCAAGCAAAGCGTCTGGTTGCTGGTCCTACTGCGCTCATTGGTCGTATTACGTTCAACGGAGCACGTGAAGTGCAAGATCAAAAGCCACTTCCTAGATGAATGGAAGCCTTGTTGGTTAGTCATATAATCGAGAGTAGAATAGGCGTCAAGGAAAAAGTACTCCGGAGAAAAAACAAACAGCAACAACCTATCCTCAGATGCTTAGACATGATATATTTTATTCTTTAACAGTTGCCCTGCGCACGATGCCGTGCACGTCCCATAGCTTCTTGAAAAAAACCGAAGGGTAACCGTTTTAGCAACGTAGTGTACCGCCTTCTCCCGAAAAAATGGAGAGCATCGTTAGAACACAACTGATAACGACATAAGCCGTCTCGAGAGCGATCATCTCTAAAAACCGCACATGACGACCATCTACATTCGTTTATGCATCCATATATTAACCGAGACATTCAAAAATCGAGGAAGGATCCTTAAACATTTACTTTATTGCTTACTTGCTTACCCGTATTATTGTGGAATTCAGTACTTGACCGAAGAAGGAATGAGATCTCCTTGTTCTTCTGTCATCCACCAGCCCCGTCGAAGCAGGCATATAATAGCATATCAATTAACGATCTCGTTGGCTAGTATTTTATTTGATGAAATTTTACGCAAAAATCGTGATAAGCATGGAAGCGCAAAGGTTCTATACTAGTCTTCAATTTTGAGGACGTAAGTGTTCTGTACTGATGCGGGAAGAGGGCGAAGACCTTCCTGGCTGAGCAATAGAGTGTTCTATAGATAGTTACACGGAATTTGTATAAAATAGTCGGAGACAGAACAGAATTATGCCTGGCTCTCCTCTTTCATATATTAGGCTTGAACGCCTCACCGAGACTACCATTACACCCCTTTTCCTGCTCGAGAAACACGAGTAGTTAGCAGCATGTCTACAGCAGCAAAGTACACTGGTAAAAATTGGTTGCTCGACAGCTTCTGTTCCACCACATCTCCTCAACTTTCTCAGAATTGGAACACTGTACGACAAATGGACGCGAAATTATGGTCGAGCGGCCAATTACACAAATAGATTGATGTAGCATACCGGTGTATCGGCCAACATTCCCTCAGGGGGATACCCTACCGGGACAGTGTGTCTTTACTACACGTGGAGGCTACGCGTGTGAAGGGAGCAAAGTTGTGAATAGTGCCACAAAATCTAAAAAGGCCTTCAGACAGGACTGTGGATTTCGGATTCCTCACTTTCCCTTCGCCACTTCTGTGCCACAGAAGCGGCACAATGTGATCCGGATGGAGCCACGACTTTGACTACCACGTTCCACCTCCAGTCTAAATAATAGAAGGGAACCACTCAAAATTGGCTGCTGGACATCCTTACAAGGTAACATGGCCTTATGAGTTGATAAGCTCTTCCTGTATAGCCCCACTTTCCAAAAATAGACCCGAACTCATGAGTTGCACCTAATAGGTTCTGCTAGGAGGTTAAAAAATGGATTCGATTGACCCTCTTGCATCCAAAAATAGATTGGTCATTAATTACTTTGCGGTGATCGTAAGAGCAAGTTTTGGGAACAAATTCAAGTGGAACCTGAATAAATAATTTTTTTATAGCTTGTTCCACCACATTTCAATGCCCACGCCTCCCACGTGGTGAATAACATTCTACCTTTCCCATCATTGGGCTTATGTATCCCAAAGACCTAGAGCACGAAATGTAATATCACAATGGATCACGAGCTGTACTACAATGAAGGTCTGACCCCGTATATACGTATGGTTATTTGCTGATGTGGTTATTTGTATGGGCCAATTTGACACGAATTTCGGTCTTCTATGTTAGTGTCGACTCGTTTGTCTTCAGCTTTAAGCCATCCAGCCAGGTTGATGCAGTCTGCATGTCGTACTCTCTTCACTTTGTATTAAGCTTCTTTATTACTGTCTGTTTTAGTTTAATATTTTCCCTGCTTTATGTTTAACTAACTTTTGGTTCTGTCTGTGCGCACCATGAGTACAATTTAAATAAATAAAGATAAGCCAGCGACCTCACTCCAACCCATTCACCCACCTCAAGCAGTAGATTCAGCTTCCATCTCACCAAGTTCTGCCACATATAGCGCCTTACAACTTTGAAATTTTTTGTGTCTTCATTAATACACTAACAGGTTATCCTCTTCATTTCACCCTTTTGGTACCCGTCTAGGAAATTTTTTATTTTACTTCTCAATTCAAAATCCTAGTATGGACACTGCTGGAAGTAACAGTATCGCCGACCGGTTCGATTCCGTTTTTACCAAATTTCGGTTATCATCATATGCAAACAGGATTCCTGTCTTTTCTGGGATAAAGGTGGTGCAGGATCAATTCCCTTCCTAGAAAAATTCAATGAAATAGGGAATATAGCGAGCTTTACAGGACCTAAAATGGTCGCCTCCCCCTAGCGCATTAAACAGGAGTCGCAAAAGCAGTCTTCGAAAACGTTCCCGATCAGATAGACGTGATTTGCGCACGGCAGTACCCAAATTTGAAGAAAACTTCTCTACCGACCACTTTCCTGACATGGCTAGAGGGGATCTCACAGGAATGCGAATGGAACTTGGTGAATCAAAAGTCATGCTCTGAAATAGAATACGGAAAGAGGTCCTAGACCCATATCCAGGCTCTAACATGGCTAGTGAACGAAAATTCATTCGAACATGACTTTTACCAACGGCCTGTCAAGAAAGAATGTGGAATCTTACAAACACAGAGACGAACGCTTCAACTGGTAGCCAAAGTTGGTGTAGTTCTCATGCCCTAGACCCACCAAGCAATCGAATTCTTCCATGACTCACCACGACCATCACTAAAGCCACCCAAAGCGAAGATACCGATATAAACAAGAGTCCCATGACTACAACCGTTTCTAATCTTCGTACTCTCCTTCAAAACTTTAGGTTTTTATATTACCTTACTCTAATGGAGACCATGTAGAGAACGTGAAGATAGTAAAATGCTTCTAACATACCAATACCAACATACATTTTTCATCCCCAACATATCACAGCAAACCCTTGTGCACTAGATGAGTAAGCGTCAGAGGGTAATCAATAACCAGGGGCTTCCGCCTTTTTCAGAAAACAGTATGCATTTTCGGCGATGAGTTATGAAGATCAACAGAAATCCTTTCGAGTAAGTAGTCACCTACAGCCTGCACTGGTAGGTTTGGATAACTCCTTTCAATTTTGCCGCAATACCGCGATGCTCTTCAAAACTCTTGGGCGTGTGCCCCACATATTTTCCAGTCTTAAAAACAAAAAGAAAAAACGCCCCGATACTAGTCGCCCTCAACAAGACTAGTATTTGCTTCATGGCATTTGAATCATGTCCGTATATCACTCGGACCTCAGCATGCATAGACTGATATTCGTATCACAGTTTATATACCAGTTCGAAAATATAATGTTAATATTTAGCATAACCCGGCCCTGTATTATATTTATAGACTTTACCTATAGCACATGTTTAATGTTGTCATAAGTTTCATTATACTGTCTTATTTCGCTGTAATTTCTATCACATACAAAAGAAGGGAAAATTGCCTAATTCGTAAAATTAGCCTCGCTATGTCATTATGAGACCAACATCACTTATCACAGTGTATAAGGATAACTCATAGGTTGACCGATCAGAACTGCACCCATTTCGTTAGAGTTCGATACATATATGGAAAATATGCTGCTTACATTGAACGATACTATTATAACGTTGATCCATATCACTTCCACCCATTCCGGCTCGAGGTCAAGCCCTTCTCTCGAAGGTGTGGCGCAAGCCCTTATAGACAACAGCCATTATTTGTGCTTCCTAACAGTTTTTGTACAACGCCGCTTGCCACCTGGTTTGTCCATATTACTACACGATCAACTAGCAGCACGATATTTTAGGATACGAATTCATTCTATCCGTTTTCATCAACTTCCAACAACCGACGACGTACAGTACCGCTTGAGAGCTTATTCAAAGCTCGAGGACGAGTTTGCAGTAAGGAATAGAGATGTCGTATCCTCGCCACCTGACTGCCACCCAAACGAGGCCACGTGTCAATCAAGATCCAGACGTTACACCGGGCACCTATAAAACGAGCTGGCTGGCGACAAATGCCTCATGGTTACTGCTGCCTCACCTCGTTCATCCAACTCTGTGGATAGCGTCCATCGCATCGGCAACAGCCCACTTGCCCTGTTCCTCTCCGATCCAGTTCCGTAACATATTTAACATATTAATAATAAAGATGTATGTACACAACTGTGTCTTTTACCCCTCACATGAACTCACGTCCCGCTACATCATCAGTCATAGGCCTCGCGAAAATATAATCTGATAGGGCGCACCACTTGCCGCTGCACAACCTCTGCCCTTTACCATCTTTACAATTTAAAGCAACAAAACACCTAAAAGATAGGAAGCCCTCGCTTCACCTTCACGTCATCAGGCGACACCCATGTAAGAAGATCGTTGTACGCAGTCTTAACCTCTTCCATAGTGAAGCCTCTGCTATCCTGAAAAATAAATGTTAATATGATCACACAGAAGCAGTACTATGGGAACATCGACTTCCTCAATCACAGTACTAGCATCCTCAGTTTGCATATAATCGTCGCTCTTCGACTTCTTCAGTTGGTCATCGACTTGAGCCTGCAATGCTCAAAATTCTATAATTACTCAGAATGAATACTACGGATCGACAAGAAATACCTTCGCATGTTGAACAACCCCGAACACTGGTTGCAGTGACTTACGAAAAGAAATAGGGCAGTCCTTCTTATCTCTTAAGAAACCATCAACAACACGATGAGCTCGAACCAGCATACAATCGATTATTGCTTCTTTGCGCTCTTCCATATCTCTTGGAATCGAATTGTTACAAAAGAATAAGCTATGCATAAGCAGAAAAGGAAACTCACAAAATTGAGGTAAAATCTAAAACCGGTAGACATGCTCCTAGTTTAACACCTCTGAGGTCGTCCGTCCCCACCATAGTCTCAACCTTTGATCTCACTACCTTTCCTCAACTGCTTGAGTTGGCACTTCATGAATGATGTGTAAACATCTTCCCACCCTCCTTCCATTCCTATTTACTCAAAGCTCAACCTTTTGCGTTGATTCCTACGTGTACATGGTCACAGTCCTTCACCACAATAAAGCAACATCTCCTCTCACTTTCTCATACTCATGCGTTCGACACTGTGATCCCAATGATGAGATCCCATGAACTTCAATACATCATCTGGATGGCATAGTTCGAGAATATGCTGAACGATCAAGCACATGGTGTCATCTTCTGCTGGCGAACGCTAAACAAATACTATTCAAGGAACTGCATAGATAAACAATGCATGCCATGAAAGAAACTTCCCTTCTTATCTGCGAGGATTTTCAGCTTGGTAAGCAATAGGGGCAAATGATCCGGATACACAGCGATAAGGTCAGAATACAAACGATGAACAGCAAGCGGATCTTTCAGCTTTGTAAGCCATGAGATTCGAGCATCACGAATCGCTTCTGGAATCATTGGAATAATAAGGATTTTGAGGATAGTAAAGAGCTTTCAGAAGCAGACAAATCAGCCCCCGATTGACCTGATTTTGGCTGGGCTGTAGGCGCTTTGAAAGATTATGGCTCACATCCCAAAAGCCTGCTCTCGTGAACAGTGTCAATTAGTTGATGAGTGAATCCTTGCTTCTTCATTTTACTGGCAAAGCATTCCCTACATGATATGGTATATTTCTCAAAACCCATTCTAAATTTCCATTTTGATTAAAATCTTGACAAACAACCTTATGACTTGAGCTGCAAGCCATGTCTGTTGTGCAGCAGGTTGCGGAAGACTATAACGTAGCGAACAGTTGGTCACAATTTTACAAACGATTAATAATTGGTTGAGACGCGTTCCATTTCCCAGTTTCTGATCTAGAGACTAAGACGGATAGAACAAATTACATAATGACAAACAATGGCCTGACAAACACCCAAATTGGATTTATAAATCACCACAATGCAGACTTGCTATTACTATCATCTGAGTGGACATCGGCCATTCTTATTAGTCAAACAGGGATACAGGACATGTGTTAAAAGGAACATCAAGAACCGCGCATATTAGCAGTCAATTCTAAGCGAAGTACTTTCAAAACTGAACTAGTAGGAACCTTAACAAACCATTCATTTCTTCTTCTTCATGATGAGGTTTCTTATCCTTCAGAATCACCATCGATAGAGCTTTGGTTGGTCGCCCACTGTATTCAGTGAAGGTATAAGTGATTGCAGTCTTATCAACCTGCAACATCAACACAACAAAAATGGAATCACGTACTTTTTACGAAGGCTCATGAACAAGAAAATAACAGCTTTACCATATTTTACGAATTGGTTTGTAAGTTGGTAGAAAAAAATCATTTTCTAGGTTAAACCAACCGCTTTGCTTCCGCTATTGTTCATTACGACGAAGTTTCCTGTCATGTACGACCCACCCACAATATTGATCGACTTGGGAAGCCTTCAACAACAAGCAGGGCGTAAAACTAACACGACAACAAGAACAACGAGGAACTAACTTATCATCAGGGATACTGCCAGCGTACAAGGTGACTTGTTGGGCCGGATTGAGAAATTTGTTTGCCCACTTGAAGACTGAAAACCAATTAGATGATTGATTAGACTAGATATATTAACAGCACAGGGATAATTATGTGGATATTGGGTGGCATACCATTTTCTCCGATTAGAGGTGCCGAAGTGAGGTCTAAGGTCAGAGTCGGGGTTATGAGAACACGAACACTGAAACGTGCCTCGAGTATTGGCTAGTAAAATTGAAAACAGATCGAAATTACTACTTACTGTAGTGGCGTATCTGCAAGTAATTCGAGTTGACTAGTTTCAGGATGACGAACCTCCACCTGGGCTACGTACTCACCTTTTTCTACTTTGAATGAATACTGCAACTATTCCATGTTCACAAGAACTGGGAACGAAATAAACTCAACACAAACCCTCTCAGGATAACTGCTTGAAGCTCCGATAAATTCTTTCGTAGACGAAAACAACTGGACTAGAACGGAGTCATAAGGAGATTCGTAAAGGTACGAGGTAACACTTGGTAAATCGAGGCGAATATCACAGCATTTTGAGACTAAAACGCAATCAGATGAAAAAACGCTATCACATCAAATTTTCGAAACGAACCATGCAATTTATAGGTTAGGAGGATGCGATGAATCTGTTTTCCTCTAATTAAAAGATCTCGCGGACCCAGAGGCTCAACCTTCACCGACATCGGTTTGAATGGTACATGAAGTGTGCTGAAACAGACTTAACCACGAAAACTATTAAAAAGCTGCATGTACTTCCATAACATTGAGCATATTCATAACCTAAGCCTCCCTATTCTCACGATTTCTAATGCAGCAAACGAACAAAAAAGAAAGGAGAAATAGACACTCACTTCTCGAAGCTCACCCCCCCCCCCCCGGAATAAAACAAACAACTGCAAAGAAGCTGATTCTGCCAAGATACGGTAGAGTGCTTAGGAAAAGTTTTGGAGTTAATCTTTTAAAATCGAAACACACGCTGTTAGAACCTTTCGCGGAGTCTACGGAATTCAGAAGTTGTCGCAGTGGCATGTTAGTGAGATAGTCTTTTCCATGCACATGTGCCAATGAGAAGGCCCGACGCTGCGGCCTGTACGCTATACTGACCACTTATAGGGGATGGATAAAAGACAGAAGCGGCCGCACAACATGAGATGTATACCCATTCCGAACCTGGAAAGGCTCTGGGAACAAAAATACAATTCTTCCCATCGTCAGATGTGAAGAGATGGCGCATCAGGTGAGGCGATGGACTCACAGGCGTAGCACGAGAGATTGCATCTCGTGTGCATGGAGTTGTTTTCGTTTTGTATGAAATGTATGTAAAAATCTTGCAATTCTCTTAATCCTAAAATCCACGACAACACTGAAATACCTCATCACCAATAGAAAGAAAAAGAGAAAGCCAATAAAACACTTACCCTGAAAAGACTATTCCTTTCATTCTTTAAAATGAGCGATGTCTTTATATAGTCAACTGGAGGATTAGAAGAGTTTTGCAAGGCTTCAACACACATTTTTAAAAAAAAAAGCAAAACACACTCATGCACATGGGTGCAAGCTCCATGCCACTCCTGCGAGCCCACTGCTTTACCTGTAGCGCCATCCACATGCAGTGAAAGGACTCTTCAGTGTCTACATGTTCGGCTAATTCCATATCACACAGAAGTGCTCTCGCAACTCTGTCCCAGGATCGTTCGCAGATTTGAGAACCGGTCTCATTTTGGATGGCCGCTGCGACCTAGCATCCTCCCCTTGCTAGAGGACATTTGCACTTACGTGAATCCAATCGTCGGCCTAATGTCGACAGGGCGGAATGGAGCTGCTTCGATTCTAATTGGAGTGTACGGTGAGCCGTGGACCTAGGCGAACGCTTTTAGACGCTATTTATACTTATGATTAGGCTTGCAATGCTCGTTCCAAAGCACACCGATTGGAAAAAGAAAAGAAATTTGGATTGAAGCGTGTAAAGCAATAAGCAAGCATGGCAAAGAGATGAAATAGTTCGTTTAAAGGAGAGGATGGCATTTAAGAGTGTTGAGTAAGAGTACTAAAATAGATGATGGCTCGTTTATCTTCTTTGCTTACCGCCGTCTATACCTTTCATTCAGGCTCAACGGTGACTTGAAGTTAGTGGACAAAGGTTATGGATAAAGGCAAGAAATAAGGACGTCGGTAATCAATCCTGACTTAGGATGCACCACGCTTTCGGCTTCCAATTAGAAACGTAGTGATTTTTTAAACGTAGCGGCGTATTTGGCCTAATCAATGAATTGCGATAGCCAACTGTTATTCAGGCCAATGCTTTTATCCACACAGACGAGTCGGGTTACGAATGACCAACCCCGGAGGTATGGAAGTATTGTTTGCTTATCACTATGCCACTTCTGCTCATGAAAGCTGTGTTTATCAATATAGAAATTCAAAAGTAATGATGGATGAGGAGATGTAGTTAAATCAAGCTCATAGGGGATGAAGAGTGAAAGGCAAACGAGATCAAAGGCTACAGTAAGGAAAATAGAGTTGTTATACCAGATTGATATTCGGATCCCTCTTGACTCCATGAAATCGTGTGAACAGCCTCACAGTAATTGCCTCAGGACCGCGCGTCCAGCTGCGCACCAGACATATTTCCAAAGTACGATTTTCAACTACGGAAACAAAATGTCTCCATTCGTAGCTATCTGGGCCAAGATTCTAAGAATAAAACTAACGTGTGAAAGAGAATAAACCCCAAATTTACATGAACTATATCCAACCTTATAGGTCTCCGAGTTGCGGAAGCATTTATCGTCTATAATCTGTAAACAGTGCAATGTAAAACGCTCTTTCAGTGAAGACCGCGTCACATTTTCGATAAAGATCTCTGTAAATTAGGATTCTCAGTAAATGCTCGCGCCGCACAAAAATGTGATGAGAAAAGACCACGAACCACAAACATTGGCACACGAAGGTACCGCTATAAAAAAGCGATTGGCTTCTCCAGATAGTGCTTCAAGTTCACGTTCGCACGTATAATCATCGTCAATTGAAACTTCTTCAGGGCTGATAACAGTGATTGGCACACGGAACAAAGGCCCCAAATCAAGATGATCTGCAGACACTCCAACAATCTGAATGGAAATTGACAAGTCGACGTACTTTTCACTAGTAACACGAAGAAACGTTATTCTTTAGAGCCGAACTACCTCAAATAATAGCTACTACGGCAGATAATTATAGAACATCCTACCATACTGTGAGGCAACTTTGAAGTAACAGCGAGGTACCCGGGGATTGACAAGGCTAGTATGCTACGGGGAAGAACAAGTGGAAATGAGCTTGCTAAAGACCAAAAAAATACATGGATTTGAAACAGCGTACCTCAGTGTAACTACATTCTCCAGAGGAAAGGAACGTGGGATCGACTCTCACTGCAAAACTGCTCTCTCCCGCAGTCAAAAATAAAGTACGTGGAAACTCCAAAAATTCGCTATCAGACCGCAGTGAGATTTTGATGGCAAAATCCGATTTGCCAATATTATCTTGAACTGTGTGCTGAACATCAAACGCTGCGAATACCGCCAAGAATGTAACCAACCCGAAAACTGTTTAAATTTAGGTTCCACAGTGACTATATATTCTTGTAGCTTTCGTGACTCAAGCAACTCTCGGATGTATATACCTGAATATATTTCATGTTTCCACCTGTACATAAGCGGACTGATTACCTACAAAAATACCTCTCGAGCTCCGATTGGACTGCTTTACACGAACGTCTATACCAGTCATGAAAATAGAAGGAAAGACATCGTTATTCAGGCGAAAATATTCGTAACCGTTCAGCACCTTTATAAAAAATACTACACACCAAGTCCTCTCAGAAGGCAGAAGAAAAAGAAAACCTGTATCAAACCGCGACCGCCACCAAATGCATCTTCGCTGACACTTCTGGCTGCGGTGTTCTCTAGAGCGATGCGAACTCGATATGGGGTCCAAGGAATATTGTCAGCGCGTAATTTCGAAAGCATGCAAGCTGAAAACGAATCAGTGGAAGAATATTCGTTTAGAAATCTTGCTATCTGAAGCACCTATTGCTCCCATAGCGTTCGGGGAACTCATACTTGTCCCATTCATCATTTCCGTTGATCTGCGAGTATATCGAGGAACGCCGGCGATTGCAGCTCCCGGAGCGTACAACGACACACCCAACGCTCCATCGACACTTAAAATACAGCCGGAAAAATAATAAAATACACCACTTCAATAACTGGATTCTGGGCAGACGTGAAAACGAACGAAGGACCACGAGAGCTCCATGGGTACAACGAGGATTTGACACCTTTGAAGACGCCATAAAGAGTGGCCGCTTGTTTAGGAGAGATTCGAGCGGCTATACCTGAATCAAGCAAGGGGTGGGCTATAGGCACAACAGGAGATAACAGGCTAGAAAACAATTGATGCAATAAAACTCCATATACCAAGAACCCCAGACGTTGTGCCACCCGGGGACCCAACAGTAGACAGAGCTGGCCCATTGTTTCCTGCAGAGGCAACGAAAACAATATCATGCTCCTCAATGATTCTCTTTAGCTCGTCGATCACACGTCTGAACGGAATGCCATCGTTGAACAGTGAAAGCTCCCAGGATACTCAGTAAAACGGCAGAAAGAAGAAAGCGTGTATGAACCAAAAGTCTAATTGTTCCGACAAGGCCTTTCGGAGCCGAACTATAACCAACGCCGGCATCCACCCGGAGCACATCTAGGGGCACTGTTTGGTCAGTGCATTGTGGTCATCTACCATCTCATGGTAGCAGATACCAAATGACAAGAATAAACAGAAAGAATGAAATATTTGACATACGCTGAAGCTAGGGACAAACAAAGTCGTTCAATTTGACGAATAGTTTTATTTTTCGACTGTTATTTTCCTGTAATCATCGTTTACATACCCTCTATCCGGAAAATTGGTCCCTTCTCCAAAAGACATGTTTACAATGTCCACCTTCATTTCAACGCACAGATTAAACGCTCTGATCAACGAAGTACCAGTTTCCATTGAGTTTATACGGATATCAGAAATCATCATTGATATAATCTGAACAATAACATTTAGCTGAAAGGAGAGCAATGCAGTCTTTAGTGCAAACTTTAGCTCCAGGTGCAAGACCGTTCTGCTCAGGGGCGTCTGGAAAATTGGCCGCCGCAATGTTGGCCACGTGCGAACCGTGAGCACCATTAGGCAAACATATTTCCAAACGATTCCCGGATGGTGCAATGCGAACCGTATAGTTAGCCACGTCTTAAATAATCAGCTAATTTTATCGAATGTCGGTGGTTTTCGGCAGGCCCGGTACCTCTCTCGGAAAGCTTATTATACTGTCCGGTACGTCGAAAATCACCCATTTCATGACATAGAGAAAGCCGACCTCGGAAAGACGTATCGATACAGGCCCTAAGAAAAAAATGATTGGGATCACAGAAACCACTGAGTACATTGAACTTACTTCCACTGATCACCATCATGCCAAACTATGCAATCTGCGACAGGTCCCTTGTCTTCCAATTTGTCAACGGATCTCAAGAAATCTACCTGGCATGCCAGATTTTCACGGTCGTGTTTATCCGCCTAAAAAATAATGCTTTGGTTGCCCGATCCGGTTGGGGCTATATTTGAATAAAGGGCCACCTACATCCTTGTCACTGTATCCTCCGACGATATCTTCGTGTTCAAGCAGTTGACGAAGGGCGTCTGCTTTTGCCAGTTGCTGCGGAGACTCCCACGATTCTCTTCGCCAATCTTCCTGAAACGAAAGACAGTGAAAGATCATTTGGATTACAAGTTGGAGTCAATTAAGTCTGACTGGTACCTTGACGATTTTACGTAGGGACCTCGGGTACAACTCATAGATAGGTTTAATTCCAAGATGCCACTTCCCGGTGGGGTTCTTCCAAGTTTTCGGTATCTATAACCGTAACCGTTATATCTAAGTTATAAGTAAGGAACATATAACAAACTTTACTTTCAAAAGGCGGCCGGTCAGACCAACAACAACACTGCCCACCGACGACTTCACCATGCTTGTGTCGACATCGCCAGCTCCAGAGCAGTCGATGCAGTCGATAATTTTACGAGATCCATCAGTTGTCAACTGTGGGTGCGCAAATGAGTATTACCAAGAAGCATGTTCATTAAAAGGCAGAACAAACTAGCAATAGTGACGAATAAATTGTTAGAAAGAAGGAATAAGCTTATCGAAATCCTTGGAAATTAGATTGACCGCCCTGAAACCCATGAGTTTATATATTCAATATTTTCACAAGAAAACGACAAATATGCGTGCAAAGCTCCACCATGCAAGAATAAAATAGTTCAGAGAACACTCATTTACCGGTTTGCTCATCAACCAAGCAGAGAGGTCAGATGTTCAAAGGCACAGTTCACGATGATTTTGGGTGATCCAGACTATGACGAGAAATGGAAGATAAGGGCTTCGAAAAAAACGTTGAAAAGAGGGCTAGGAGACGTCGTGGTGCCCATAGCTGACTATAGGAATAAAAATGTCCTTTAAAATTCATTCCCTTATAAGCATAAGTTAACAAAAACGCTTATTACAGCGAAAACACCCCACATTTTTCAGCCTCTTGAGGTAGAAAATTAAATAAGGGACCGCAGCAGAAAAAAGAACAATAGAGAATAGCAGAAATGGAGAAAACACCCCCTCAGTACTCGGCGGTCAGTGATTGCGTGCTGAGCGTGTGGGTCTAGCGCGAATATTGCAATGGCCTCGACACTCGTCGGTCGAGGGGTCCAGGCGATCTGGTAATGGGGCTCCCACAGTGCCCTAGCTGTTGAGTTTTGGGATTTGACAGCGTCCCTCCCGTTAACCTTGGGGGCCTGGGTATCCCTAGAAGAGAACTCAGGAGCCATTTTCATCGTGAACTGTGCCTTTCACAACGAGTAAAGAAAAGCCGGAAACGACACAGCGTTTCCTGCCTAACTCACTTCGCTGAAAGTCGAATCGGTCTTGTGTAATTGATTCGCCACATGACGCGGACCAGTTGCCTCGCTGTGGCTGTTCTGACGTTCGTCATACAACAAGATCAACAAGATCTATATGCGAGTATTACTTTTGGCATGATTCTACCGATTCCTTTGTTCCTGCTCTTCTTCGTTGCTGCGATGCTTCTGCTTCATTCTGCTACATTTCTCCGCGCGCGACGTCGCCTTCGCCGCTAAGCGACAATTCTATATTTTCATTCAAACCATACACTCGAGGAACGTAACGCTGTTGAATCCGAAAAGAAGTGTCCGGTGCCGATGCATGAGGAGAAAGTTTATGCTAGAAAAGCATTAGAAGCATTCTATGAATACCGAATGACCTTCCGCTGTTCCAGCTGCACCCTGTAAACCCTGTAAAATATTACTGCGTCTTGAATGCGCCTCCTACTCTGCATATATTAGGAGACAACAGGGGCGGGAATCCCGCTAGCAAAATGCGAGTGGGTCTCACAGCGAAAAACTCGGCACTTTGATACGGCATGCTGACTACTTGTGAAGGAAGTTTAGCAAAGAAGGTTCCAGCGAGAAGCAAGAACCCAAGTTTGAGTACTGGGTGAGAGGTGTGATAGTATTCGTCAAGACTCTTTTGAGTCAGACATTGATCTTTGTTGTTAGTGATGTTCTAATTATGAAATCTCTGATTGCTGCCCAAGAAGGAGTCGCTGTCGATGTTCTGGCATTGGCCAAAACCCGCGGTTACCCCACTCCTTAGAGGGCAGGCTTGGACCTCATTCTTCGGTTATGCACCGCCCGCAAACAGGATGTTTTGTTGGTTATTAGGACAAATTCACTGGGACTTTATTTCACTATTCAACAGAGAGACCAACAATCCCTCCAAATTCATAAAACCCTTCCGCCTAATTTCTTGGTGCATAGGCTAAATCCGTTACAAGGTAACCCGCAGTAAGCATTTCATTCTCAATAAAACATCCGTTCAATAGCAGCGAAGAAAGTAAAAGAATCAACTACAGATATCAACATGGTACTCTACTTTTACAAGAGATCAATTATTGTTAGTTATACTGCCCTAGCTGCTCTATTACAAAAATATCACTCCTACGGAGCAAACCTGGAGTATACGCAAAACTGGGGGGAACTTTACGAAAAAGCTCTGGCGAATGTTACCCTTTTATCGTCAGCACTTAGTCGTATAAGAATTGCTTCGAAACTATTCAGGGAGAGTCGACAAAATAGAGAACACAATGCCAGTGCAAGGAAGCTTGATCAGTATAACTTATCATAGTAGTTAAAAGCACCGTTCACGATAAAAAAGGTTATTGAGTTCTTACCTTATTAATACTCAGCGACCCCTATGGGTTGTAGAAGGGACCCTCTCACTCCCCCAGTCTCGACGTCCAGGGCATAGTGGCAGCGCCGTTGTTGCCGTAGTTCGCGTTCCCGCCCCTCGGTCGATGAGAAGAATAGAAACAGTTCAGCAGAATAATAGCAGGGAGAAATCCGACCACATGTTTGGGTGTGTTGTCTGCAACTGCAGACATTGCGTCGCCTTCGCGCACTCGTCCGAACACTCCTTAACCGCCGTTCTTTCAATGTGAAACTCGTCCAACCCCCCTTTCCAGCTCTTATTTGACCCTTTGTATTTCTTTTTGTTCATCGTTTTTTGCGCTTTGTTATCGCTTTATTCTAGAGTAGTTCTATCAATTCCCGTCAAAAAGGGTACCCTAAATTTATAATCTCAACATCTGCAACATTTGGCGAGCGCGGAAGTTTTCATCCATGTACAGGGTGACCCACATGAAGTGTGACGGGCAATAAAAAAAATCAACTTGTGGGCTTTTGGGCTGGAGGAAGCGGTGATCGCTTGGGCGGAAAGGAACGCGATGAACGTCAGCTGAACCTTCCACAGGATTGGGCACCAGCCCACAGCGCAAAGAAGATGCTGCAATGTTGTGAAACCACGCTTCCGGGTTTTTGGGGTGAAGCAGTTTTGACCTTCAAATTCCCCGTTCTCAATCCTTTGGATTTTTGTGTATGGTCGATTCTGGAGCAAAAAGCCTGCGCTTTCAAACACAGGTCTTGGGAACCTCTGAAAGAAAGTTCTCTTGTAGGAGCGTGGGATGAAAGTGATTACGCATTCTTGAAAACATCCGAATGAGGTTGGATGTTTGCATGGAAGCGAAAGCTGGTCATTCTGAGTGCGAGATGTGATATGTTGTTTACAATTTTGTGTTGATTGTGTAGGAGTAATAGTTTCCTATTTGGTTTGATCTGTATAATTTTGATGCTAGTTTTCTGCGTCACACTTCACGTGGGTCACCCTGTACTGGAAGCTCAGTTAGCAGAGGCTGAAGCGAATCTAGATAAAGCTCAGAGGAAGCTCAAATTACCTTCAGCTAATAATAACAGTGAAAGATCATCAACCCGCAAAAGTAAGCAGACGAAGTGGTTTCAAGGAAACTCAGGGGAGCCGCATTCTCAGAGCACCTCGAGGATGTGATCAATCAAACCTCCCAATACCAGCCTATCGAAATTTTACGATAGCGAAGAAGAATCCCCAGAATACTGTGCAGTTTATGAACCCATCATTCACTCAAGCAATTAACTGAGTACAATTGAAAGACTGTTCTACTCAAGGACAGACCGAGAGGGAAAGCCGAAAGAGCCATCAAGTGGATACAGCCGATAGCAAAGAATTATGAATGGATCGTGCAGACCCTTAAAGTTAAATTCGGCAACCGACCGGTCAACAGGTTAAAAATAGTGCAGAAACTCTTCGACCTGAAACCTGCTGCACAAAACACGAAAACCTGTGATGATTGCTTGGACTCGATCAAAGTACTTGTAAACTAAATGGTCTCTACTGCTATGTATGTATATGTATGTATGTATGTATGTATGTATGTATGTATGTATGTATGTATGTATGTATGTATGTAGCTTATGTAGCGGGCTTACATCAAAGTTATTTAGTCTCTTCAGATGCGTTTTACAACGAGGGAAAAAGGTGTCTGGAGGTAATAAAAGTAATGTGGTTTGAAGTCTGAAGTGGGTGGGGTTTCCAAAGAGGGGGCGGGGCTGAAATCAGAAGTTTATACATCTGCCCTGCACATTAACCCTGACCACATAGGTGTACAACTAGGGGATACCACTAAACTCTCAAAAATTAGGCTGAAATTTTTTTAAAAGTTAGTATCCAAGGTTCCACACACAGTAGTCCCTTCTACACAAGAGCAAATGCAGTTTATTACCTTCAGACCTTATAAAATAAATTCTACAATAATCCAGGTGCATACCCTGTAGAGACGTGTAAATTCCTACAACTACCCAAAGGGGCTGTCCTTTCAAAGTTAGTGTTCATGGCCACACACAGCCCAAACTACACAGTTTCTTCGACTACATGGGCCGTAGAGGCATTTGCTTTGGATACATCGGGGTGCTCCTCATGGCCACACACAGCCCCACTTGACAGGAGTACTCTTCATAACCACACACACCCCAAACCAAACAGAACTTCATCGAGCGCATGGACTGCAGAGGTATTCAATTCGGATACATCAGCCTTTGAAAACAAATTCTGGAAGACCTCTACAGTAGCACCGACCACACAGGTGCATACCAAAATGTTTGTTAATCAGATCAGAAGAGGTTGAAGTTATTGCTTGATTAATCCCCGTCGCCCTTTCTGGAGAATATTGTGTATAGAAGCGCTGCTTTGATAAATTACATGTTCCAGAATCAAGTGTTATGTATATCAAGCTAATACTCCAGCCGAGCTAGACAAACTTTTCTATTACGCATCAAACACCCTTCTTGAATTGCTTGCCCGTTCCAATTTCCGTGATTTAGCGAAAAAATTCCATGCTTTCCATGAGAAAAAAAAANAAAAAAAAATGATGCCCGCTATATACGTGTCATGGAAGAGGTCAGATGATAAAGGTCTATAATGAAAATCAGAAGCTCATGAGGCTCCATTCTTTATGGCTAGGCCCTCAGCGCACGCGATAGCGTGCATAGCCGCCTGGTTATACAAAAAACAAAAAGATCAGATTAAGTACTTGAACAAGAAGACTATACACCTCTCTGAAATATTCTATGTAACAGAAACTCCATAAATATGGCTACTCTCACAAGCAGAAACTGTGGAAAAATCGAAACTATCAGATACTAATGTTGTACAAAATTCAAGTAAAAGAAACTAGAAAACAACTCCTGAATATCGGTGCAAACGAACCTGTAGTCCAGGCAGCGAAGGATCTACACCGGTGTCAAGAATAGCAATCACTACGTTTCTCCCATCCGCATCCGGACCGTATTTTCCGATGAAAGAAGGCTTTAAAAAACATGATTAGGATATTCACCAAAACTCTTGGCGCAATCTGACTACGGGGAAAACAGTAGCGCACGCGTCAGTAAGCAAGTTTATCGTGTGCAGGCGGGTTACGTGGAGAAACGCCCAAGCAATAAGCTCTGCATTATCTTGGAGAGAAGGAAAAAAGGAAAGGGAGCACGTCAACTGAGAGAGAATTCATGAATGTTCCCCCTCCCCCTCCTCAAATTAGACCCAACTTTTTTTTCAGATACACGATGAGTTGCATACAGTGGAAAATGAAAATACACCTGCTGACTCTCTTCCTTGGATATTAATGCGTCAGTCGGAAAACCACTCTTGAATGGTTCTTCATCGGCAACAAAACCCATTCAGAAAGCTGTAACAGATGATAACCAACCAAATCAAACAATTTCATCTCCGATACTCCACGACGAAACCTACG